TTATTTAATGTACAAGAATTGTTAAACATATAAACATGACAATATCAGTTTTTACAAGTGATTTGAAGAAACAAAGTATCTATATATGGTAAAGGATGAAGTTAAATTGCTGTTAATGACAGCATGTACTGTCTCCTTGGTTAACTTAGTGTTTGTAGATGTAGACTGTCCAGGTTAATGCATTTTCTAGAATGACTGTGGGTTTTGATATTGACTGATGTTTTGGCACAGATACTCAAGCCATTAAAACCATTTATTTTGCTTGGTATTATCAATAAGTGAACAATCCGAAAAAACTAGCATTTATAAATGCAAAGTTTTTTTGTAATAGAGCATGATATAGCTACTGGAAGCAAATGATGACATCAAGTTATAACACCAATGCAATTTAGCGTCATACATATTTAGCGTCATAAATGTTTTATTTCATGCACGTTTTTCAATTATAGACGGTAGTTATCGTTCGTTGATACAACAATATTTTGGTCGGGCACGTTATGTGTCTAACTATGCCCCCAAAAAAATTCCTACCCCGCGCCAAATTTTCTAGGAAATATGTCCCCCCGTTTTCAAATTTGTCCTCCCCATATGAAAGAAGTAATGAAAAACTTTACACAGTAAAAAATATGTCTTTCTTATTTTAAATAACTGAGAAAATGTTTATTAAAGAGTGTTAGTTCCTTTTACTGCGCTTTGCCGATCACGAAGCACATAAGTAACAATTCATAAAATAGTTTGTTGTTCGTGTACAATGAACATTCACATACAAAACATTCAGCAAGATATCTCGGCGTTTCATTGTGTTTTTGAATGTTTTGTTATGCGGTTTATACTTGTGGATCAACGTTTGGGTGAAATGTGTAAGTCATTTAATGCCTTGCGCTTTTGTATCTGCGGGTTGTTTTTCTGAGTCATTAGTTTAATTACTATGCATTATTGCTATATTCGTCAATGCATGATGGTATCTCTGAATTGTGATGGTTGTTTTGACTGGTTTTATAAAATTTAACTAAATTTATTGATCCAAATAGATTGAAATATCTAAAATCACCTGCGGTCTTGTTTTAAAACTGAAAAGTTTCACTGTTTTTTAAGATAAAGGTAAAAGTTTGTGAGGGGGACAATTTTCCAAAAGTTTTTTCACCTATACATAGATAAAGCCTGAAAATGATTAATGTACCATTGTATATGAGCTTTTTTACTGTTCGGTCTTATAACTTTTATCAAACACTTACGTACACTATTCATTAAAAGAAACGTAAAATTCCCATAAGTTTGTCGTAATTGTGTTCAATTTTACTTTAATTATTTTACCTTTTCTACTTCCGTTTTATTTTCTGCTACATACTTCTAACGTGTCTCTTGCTTTACTTAATCAAATGTTTTGTAAAGCCACCTCAAAATTTTTCTGTTGTTTTAGTGGAACAAGAGTGAAAGAACATGTTGAAAAAGGAAAATCTGATGTTGTAAATGAAGTGGTAAGGATAAAATCAACAGTTTCATGTTCATGGATATGGATAAATATAGAAAAAAAACTTGATAAATAAATACTAAATAAATTCTTTATGAATGAATACTTTCCTGAAACGAATTCTAAATTTACCAAATCAATTGTGATGTACAAATTTCTTTAATTTAGGACTTAGTAATCTTGCACCCGAAAACCCGATTGGTAATATAAAAACACTCCTAAAGACTGGTAATTTCAAGTATTATCTCTGAACCATAAAAGAATCTTATCATATATTGATAATTAGCACCATACAGAAATTACCCCTTTCGGGTGTTCTTAGTTTCGGGTGTTCTTAGTTTCGGGTGTTCTTAGTTTCGGGTGTTCTTAGTTTCGGGTGTTCTTAGTTTCGTGTTCTTAGTTTCGGGTGTTCTTAGTTTCGTGTTCTTAGTTTCGGGTGTTCTTAGTTTCGGGTGTTCTTAGTTTATGTTTATAAGTCAAATACGGATTTTCAAAAAATTAGTGATAGAACACGATGGGCACCTGCAAAGTCAATAGAATTTGAAACCATAGACTCTTCAGTGAGCTTATCAGTTTTATTTATTTTTTCACCAAGCGCTTAGGTAGCACTTTACAGCCGCTCTTCACGAAGTGAAACTTGACGCCATTTTCTTCAAATGGGAAATCCGCAAATGGGTTCCTTTAAAATACTACGTACTTAAGTTGAAGAAGGAAACATTACACGGATGTAATATAACTAATGTTTTATGTTGCTAAATGGTTTATTCTTTCTTTCAAAAATCAGGTGAAATATTAACACAAATTTTGGGGAATAGGTTTTTAACTAGAATCACACTGTTCTTTATGTGAAGAATCAGATGCTTCATCAGCAATAACAGAAAAAAACTTACTTTTTTTGATATCAGAAATAATCTGATTACTGATTACCTGGCCACAACATTTAATGATTTTATTTTGACTTGTTTTAGAAATATAACTTCTATTCTTACCACAATTCTTTAAATGATTTTCTAAAACTTTATCCCCTCTCCTAACTCCATAATTGAGTGTTTCAATGAAATTACCAACCCCTCCAGATGAATAACAACCAACAGTAGGGTGATACTTGGAATCATCACGATGCCCACGAAGAGGTAAACCTAGACGTCCACAAAAAATGACAGAATCAATAATTGAGATAGTATTTCCCTATTCTGTTCTATTTCTTTCTTGTTACCAGCATCCATGATCATCTCGATAGGCTGCAGAGTACCTGATATTTGGGAACGCAAAGCATCAAAATTGGTGATGTGGATGCATGCAAACCGACTTCCTTTTACTTTTTCCAGCATGTTGAGTGAAAGAGCATTTTGCATTCTTCCAATCTTGAAGAGGTTCAGTAAACAACTTTTTTACTTTACTGGCCTTGCCTGGGAATCTATTGCCAAACAACACACACGATAGACAATACGCACCATTTTGTGAAGGTGAATAGCAAAGCCATTCATGCTGGTCTAGCCAATCATGCCTAAATGATCTGCCATTAGATTTAGGAAAATGATACTTTTATCTGGTTTATATACATTTTTATCAAATGACATATTTCAGAATTATCCATACCCTTAACTTTCTCCTATACAAGGAAACATCAAAATTATGGGTTAAAACAGCAGGTTGCATATCACCAGAAGTTGGAATACCAGGCAATAGTTCCTGGGATGATGTGTGAAGCAAAAGACTATTGGCTTTATTTAATGTCTGAGCAAGAGCTGCAGCAGAAGAAAAACTCTCATTGGGCATCCTTTAAAAGTTGGTTGGGCAGCAGGCCTATTAGTTGAAGTAAAAAATTTGAAATGTCAACTGTTTTGGTGCAATATTTGGAAAAATTTTGACAAATTTTCGTTTCTCTGTTGTTGAGCTGCTAGAATTAGACTGTGTACAGGAATTAGACAATTTTCGCTTCAACCTGTGGGCATGGAAAATGAGAGGCACAAAATGATTAGACTGAAAAGTCTCACCTGGTTGTACAGATCCTTCATGACAAAACAAAATATTAATAGCATCCAAACCTCTTTGGCTTAATAACCGGGCTGAACAATACGATTAAATAACAATTTATATCTACTTTCACCAGAATCAGGATAAAAGTATGAATTTTTCTACCTAAAACAGAAGATAGGCCCAAAATAGAAGAAAAGATGACCATTTCTGGTCATTACAATTTAAAATAGCCTCCTGTTTTACCAGTTCATCTGTTGTATATCCAGTGTCTAAACATTCTTTAGACACTGACAAAGGCAAAAGATTGTTTAAGCTTTGGGCAAAGTAATCACTGTGCTCACTTATAACAGACAAAAAGCATGGGTGTTGAGCATAAAAAGCAGCATGAATAAATAGCTCAAGCGATGTTAAAATTCGCAAAGTAGGGACCAATGCATTGTTACCTACCAGAACTAGGAAGCTGAACTGTAGAGGCAATTGCCAAGCTTCAGATCTTAAAAATATTCAAGAAAAGAAATTAATATTTTGTTTGGTAGATTGATTGTATTGTATGAATGAATTGCTGACTGTAGACAAAGATATAGCCTAGCGAAATTGAGATTTAACCATTTTACACGTATATATAAATACTACAATATATATAATTATAATATATTTACCTTATTGCAGTACAAGTCTTTCCGTCATGAGCGTGCTTTGGCACATATATTTCAGCTCCAAAATTTCGACACAGAGTATGGTCGGGGTCATAAATTCTATCTAACAGCTGCTCGTTAGTAAACATAGGTCGAACGTCGACCAATAAACGAGAATAAAGCTCATTAAGGCATTTTAAATCGTTTTTGGCCAACGCAGACTGAGCAGTCTCGTATAAATTACCACAACACAATGAAGACATTATAAAATATCACAAAACCGTAAACTGAGCACAGAGGCTGTTCAGAAACAATACGAGTGTATGTTAATTTTCAATTGCCTAATTTGCCTAGCTCAACTATGCTTATCAACAGCAATGATTGGTTGGAATTGTCAATTAGGCAAAAAATTGACCAATGAAAGCATACGGTTGCAAAAATTGCCCAATCAGAATACCTATACACGATGTCAAGTTAGGCAAATTCATCTTGTTTAGGCAAATTGCTAACAACCAATCAAATGGCAGATCGCCTTCTTGACTTAGGCAAAATGGCTGCTTTGCCTAACGACACGGAGCTTTATAGATAATCATACGCATCTGGACTACGATTCATATCAAAATTACGTCATTTAATTGCACAACATTTCTAAACAAAGTCAGATCATTTGACTGCGATAAAGTGCTATTCATAGTTTCATAATTCGATAAATTCGTATCGAATCTAAGTCGAAGTATATTTTGTAATTTCACCATAGGCACTTGCCTATGGTGCCTATTAGATCCGCCTGATAGCAACCCTTTTTTCTGTTGCTCCTGCGTTGATACAGCTTAACACTTGCATGAAACTAATTGTTGTTTTTCTTCGCACTTATTTTACCCCATTTAGCCGCTTTATTTGCTTACGAGCTTCTTTTATAGAACCGAAGATGGCGCATGTGTGCCGACACGACCTGTGCGACCGATCCTATGGACATATTCCTCAATATCACTGGGCATATCAAAGTTGATCACATGTTTCACATGTGGTATGTCCAGACCACGAGCTGCAACCTAAAACAGTTTAAGGCTTAGTTCAAACGGCGAACTTCTCATGTGTAGTGCCAAATTACTATTAAGTTCGGTAGAGCACGGCAAAATAGGAATTTGATTCAAACGTCGATTTTAATTCAATCGAACTTAATTCCTTCATATGACCTTTCGTTCCTTTACGTCAGCGTTTATACAACGCGCATGCTCAAATAAATAGCGGGATTTTCAATATGGCGAAAAAAAATAGCACAAAGACCGATCATTTTTATGCGACATATGCTAGAGCGTGCCAAAAATCGAAGGAGAATGCTTGATTCTTTTATTCAGTTATTGAATAATAGAAGAATCATAGCAATCAGAGCTGCGATCACCCTGATTCTGTGTTTATTCTTGCAAAACCCGCGTTCAACATCAATAACGCCTCGATCATGTCGGAGACTTGCTAGAAATAAAGGATGGTAGAATCTACTTAGGGTTAAATATTCTGCAATGAGATTCAAGAAAACATTTAGAATATCTCGGGAAACGTTTCTGTTTATTCTTGCTCGCCTAAGACACGTACTCGAAAAGAAAAACAAAGTTGAAGAGCCCATTCCTCCAGAGGTTCGACTAGCTGTTTGCTTGTATCGCCTTGGAAGAGGAACATATTATTATACTATGCCAGAATTGACTGGGCTTCGTGTTTCCACCGTATGTTCTATTACTGATGAAGTTTGCAAAGCCATCGTTGAACATCTCTGGGACGAATATGTCAAACAGCTAATGCCACAGTCTGAGCAAGATTTCAAAGATTCAATGATTGATATGGAACACTTTTGGCAGTTCCTTGTTGTTGGGCAGCCCTTGATGGTTGCAACGTTTCTACAAAGTGCCCACCAGGTGATCAGGAAGCAAACAAAGAGTATCACAACTTTAAAAAATTTTACTGTATTGTTCTTATGGAATTGGTTGACTCCCACTATAGATTTATTTGGGGAAGCTGTGGCTACCCAGGTAACTCACACGACGCTATTATTTTTCAAACCACACAGCTGTGGGCTAGTATTCAGGAAGGAAACTATTTGCCAGCAATTGGGAAAGTAATTGGTCAGCAAACAGTCCAGCCAATTATAGTTACTGACTCTGCTTTTCCATTTACCAAATGGCTTATGAAGCCTTATACAGATGCTGTCCTTTCTGAAAGGAAAAGGTATTTTAATTACAGACTAAGCCGTGCATAAATGGTGACAGAGGGTGCCTTTGGACAGCTTAAAGGTAGGTGGCATGTGCTGTACAGAAAATGTGAAAGTAATAGAAAAAGTGTCAGAATGACTTTCCTGGCTTGCCTGGTCCTCCATAACATTTGCTTAATGAAGAAAGATACTATCTCAAAACAATTGGATCTTTCACAAGACCCTGGCAAAAGTGAAACGCGAGATAGAGATTCAGTAAGAGAATTGCTACAAATGAGAGCATGTCCTAAAGTCAGGGATACTTCCAAAGAAGCAGCTGATATAAGAAATGCTTTGGTGGAAAAACTTTGGTTGGAGAAGGAGACTGGAGAAGTGGTTCAATTTTTTTGACTTTTGAAAAAAAGTTCATTTTCATATATTGAACAACACATTCATAAAAAATTAATTTTTTGGCACTTTCTAATTCTCAATCTTAACTAATGTGATTATATAATGCTTTATTGTGCACAAATAACATTTGATTTGAACATTTTGTTAATATAACAACATAAAGTTTGTGTAGCAATTAGTAAAAAATATCTTTATTTGTTATGTCTTTATTAATAACACAACTGAATAATAAGAACTAATTAAACATTGCAAGTGGTTCAGGGCATAATAAATGCCATAATATGTTATTTTTATTCACATACATAATTTCTATAAAGATTGGTATTGTTTGAGATCATAGTCTGAATGACTGTTGCTAAAGTTTGGAGTGACTGCTGAATGACTTTGTATTGGTAATTGATACTGCTGAAGATTAGCTGATGAGTGGATATTCGGTTCTTGTTGAAAATTTGGTATTGGTTGAAAGTTTGGCATTGGTTGAATATTGGGTTGTGGTGGAAATGGTTAGTTATATTGATGTGGTGACCATGAATGATGTGCACCATTTGATGAAGTTAGACAATTAAGAAAAAGCTTGGTTATTTCAATTTCATGCTTTCTTGCTATTTCAGCTTCATCTTGCATGAAACGTAGCAGCTCCTTGGATGGATCATTGTCCACCATAGTCTTTAAAAGAGCTATAGCTTCATCAACATTGTCTTTTGTTGACAATTTTCTTCTTTTCATGGGAACAAATGATTTTTTCACACTATCTTCACCTTCTTCCAAGTGTCTGATTTCTTCCTCTTCTTCCAGGTCAATCAGAGAAGGATTACCACTGGAGCTAGAGCTACTGATATCACTTGAAAATGAAGGTTCTATTGCCATCTCAGGTCTGCAAGAGTCTCTGGATTGAACAAGCTGAAACAACTGCTTGAACCATACACCATAGCCTTTGCCTTCTTGGAAACGTTTTATGCCACTAGCAGTTTTCATGGTAATTGCAGCATGTTTGCATTCTCCAATGCATTTCTTAAATTTATTACGCATTTGAGACACAGTAAAGTCTATGCTTTCTTTTCTTTCATGGCACCTTGCTTTAAGCTCTGTCAAAATATTTTCGTATACATTGCCATTCTTTTGGTTTTTTGTATTCGTGAAAATTAATTTTTTCTTGTAGTAATCACTGTAAGCAACAATATCGATAAAATCATTTAGAACGTTCTCGGTCAACAAGGCTTTCCTGCCAGCTTTCTTTTTTGAACCTTTGTCATTATCATTAACTTCAGATTCATCATCAGTTGAACCACTACAAATAAAATGTTGGTCAAAATATTAGTACGAATACGGTATATTGAATAAAAGAAAATTATAATTCTTGGGGCATTAACAATAATTATTTAGGTCTAACCTTTTTCTTCCAATCAACGGAGAGGGTGTTGAAGTTTTTCGGCTTTCAGCGTAAAAAGTATTTGAATTATACGGAGTGGAATGATTTTCTATCTCCGGTGATTCGACTGGATGCTTATCGGTGGTAGAATTCCTTACACAATTTGGGCAATATCCAACAGATACTCCAGCCTCCCAACCAATAGTTTCCTCATCGTCTTGAAACAAACTACAACGGTTACAAACTGGACTATTGCAAGTATTTCGTTTCTTCTTGGCAAAAATTACAGTCAACAATCGATTGGCTTTGTCTCGAAGAAGAAGCCATATTGTTTACAAATGAGCGCCATAAAAATTCGCGCCATTTTACTCGGGTTTAGATCATGGATTGAATAGGATATGTACACACGAATAGGGTGATAACGCACTCGTTTCACGTCGCTTTTTTAAGTTTGGCACATGAGAAGGTCGCCGTTTGAATTGACAACGTGCCGTGTCGAACTTAATGCATTAGGCGCGGCAAGCCCAGCCGAGCTATATCCTTGAGTCGATCAAAATTAAAACCGCCGAACTTAATTGATTCATACGTCGTGCTTGTCATGTACTTAATGCGTTGTATTAAGTTCGGCACATGAGAAACCGTCTGAACTAAGCCTAAGTAACTTGCACATTTTTTTGCAATAGCAGCATTATGTAGGGAGTTAATAAACAATTATTGAATGAGGTTGAGCATAATATCAGTATTATTCAGACCGAGTCAATGTTATCTGCAGAAGCGAAGCTTATTCACTTCAACTACCAGAAATATTATTAAAACATATCAATGTAAAACATTTCAAAAACTTTCGCCAATTAGCCCTTTGGTCAGACGGTTTATTAGAACTTTTCTTCGTTTGCATAGATTGTAAATATGTTCAAAACAAGCTTAGTCGCTTTTTCCTGCCTTCTTTTTGTTCAAAAGCTTGCGCATATCTTTTTTACAAACTATGGCAAACATCGCGTTTATTTGATTTTTTCAAAACCGGCTTTCAATTGTATCAATAATTGCACAAAATATTATTTGTAGATAAGACGTTATAAAGACGCACTTTATAACAACCAAATAACGCTAGTTTCTTCTTAGACTGTTAAAGTGATACTAGGACGAAATTTAGCCTCTCGTTTTTTTTTCATAGATTAATAGTGTATGTAAAAAAATCTCTTCTGGCGAAATTTTAGCGCAATGTATTTAATGCTGCTCGAGTTACGTAGCGATAAAACTTGAACTTTAAGAGCCGCCATTAAAATGCGCCATATTTGAATTTTGAAGAAGGAAGGTGATTGTGACGTCATAGTCTTAACTCGCGGCTGTTCACAATAAACACTATATACAAATAGAGATTTAAAAGGTTGTATAACTCAATTTTTTTAACATGCCTTCAACACTTTGTGTCGTGCAAGATTGCAGTAATAAGTCTGATAGAAGTGCAGGCATTTCATTACATAAAAGCCCAAACGGCGAATCTTTGAGAAGAATTTGGGTTAAATTTGTTCAGACGAAGCGCGCAAACTTTAATCCGAGTTCGCGCAAAATTCGATTTATTATTTGTTCGAATCACTTCTCGGATGATTGTTTTGAGAGTTTATTCCATTTGGCTGGTATGACTAGACGGCTCAAACCTGGTGCCGTACCTACTATTTGGAAGAAATCACAAACACCAACAACGTCAAGAGAGCGGCAACAGGTTAGCACAAGTTGCAATTATTATATACTTACACATATTGCAGATGATAAATTTTCACAATTTGAGAGAACCAATAATACATCCAGGCTAACTTTCAATATATAATATACATTTATACTAAGGTTTTAAAGGAAATACAAAATGAAGTGTCTGTCATTGATTAATAAAGCTACAGGTAGTTGTGTATGTCATTGTTCAAATAACTAAGATAAGTCTTAGATTATTAACTGTGCATGGTCTGCATGGAGTTACCTTAATTAACATCTCTGCAAATTTCATGACATAAACTCCACAGTCAACTGAGTTTGGTTGCTGTGGTACCTAAAACATGTGAGATAGAAAAAGATGTTTATGGATGAGGGTTTACAACTATATATATATATATATATATATAATAGGGTTTTGTGATAAAAGCTATCGCAAACAAAATCGCACGGATAGAGTGCTCAATGCCACGGCAGAGCGGTATAATTGAAAATAAAATTAACCACGAATTACTTCATAGGAATTTATTCCCTACAGAACTGTTTCGTATGGCAGTTGTTTAACTTGCCACACTCGTCAGGAGAATAAATATAGCGCTATAACACAACGGAACTTATACACAAAGATGAATAATTAAGTGATATAGTATTACATTAATGACGTTAGTAATCAAGAAAGAACTGTGCCGAATATTCAACGAAAACCACCTGAAATTAACCATTGAAGCAAATAAGAAATCCGTGAACTTCCTTGACATCACCTTTGATTTACGATCTGACTCCTTTAAGCCATACAACAAACCAGGAAACATTCCTCAATACATAAGCATTTACAGCAACCACCCCCCATCTATCCTACGCAGAATCCCAGAAACCATCAACCAGCGGCTCTCAAGAATCTCATCCAACAAGCAATCATTCGACTCAAGCATACACCCATACCAAGAAGCACTAAAAAAAAGCGGCTTTAACTACAAATTACAATACAACCCACAAACCACACGAAAGTCAAAAAACAGAAACAGAAATAGAAACATCACCTGGTACAACCCACCATACAACTCCAATGTCCACACAGACATCGGACACAAGTTCCTTAGTATAATCAACAGGTCCTTTCCAAAAAACCATCCACTCAGCAAAACCTTCAACAGAAACACACTTAAGCTAAGTTACAGTTGCATGCCAAACATCGATACGATAATTTCTACACACAATAACACCGTTTTAATCAAAGAAGAAACGACGAAAAACGCCACCACAGACAGAAAATGCAACTGCCGGAAGAAAGAGGAATGCCCACTAAAAGGAGAATGCCAAACCAAAGGGGTAGTCTACCAAGCCACAGTTACCAGCACACTAACCAAACACAAAGAAACCTACATCGGTCTAACGGAGAACACTTTTAAAACACGCTACTTGAACCACACCAGCTCATTCCGAAATAAATCAAAACAACACTCCACAGAACTCAGCAAACACATATGGAAACTAAAAGACTCTAACACACCATACACCATCAACTGGAAAATTGTAAAGAAATCACAACCCTACGCTGTAATTTATGTAAACCAAACGCTGTAATTTATGCCTCTCGGAGAAATTCTTCATCATCTTCCACCCAGAACTCAGCTCGCTTAATAAACGAAACGAACTCATTTCCGCATGCCGCCATCGTAATAAACACTTACTAACGTCATTAATGTAATACTATATCACTTAATTATTCATCTTTGTGTATAAATTCCGTTGTGTTATAGCGCTATATTTATTCTCCTGACGAGTGTGGCAAGTTAAACAACTGCCATACGAAACAGTTCTGTAGGGAATAAATTCCTATGAAGTAATTCGTGGTTTATTTTATTTTCAATTATATATATATATATATAAGTTTGAAAATGTGTAATCCAGGCATTGAATAAATAAAAGATAAACGTTTCTCCGGATTTTTAAATGATTTTTTATTGAGCTTTCGACTCGTTGCTTCGAGCCTTCATCAGAATAAGGATATTTATTTACACGTGCTTTTAGCTTGGAGACGTTTAGAGCGTCTAATTGGATTAGTGGGTGGATTAATGTGATTGGATGGGATGAAATGCGTTGCCATGGGTTTTGGTGTGTTGTTAATATGATTGGTGTTAGTAATATTAGAGTGTAGTGTTTTAGTTTTGGTGTTGTTTGTAGTTTTTGTCCTTTTCTTTAGTTGTGAGTATATGATGGGTATGTCGATATGTCTGTTTATTGTGTCGTTGTCTTCACTGTACCAAGCTTCTTTAAATTCGCGTGCGTGTTTAGTCTGTGCGCGTCCGAGTACTTTAGTTTCTGTCCAGTCGAATGTGTGGTTGTTTCCGTGGGTATGTTCTGCCGGTAGTGAGTTCGGATCTCGTCGTTTTATGGCGTTTTGTGTTCTGTTAGTCTTGTTTCAATTTTCTTAGATGTTTGTCCTATGTATTGCTTTGAACAGTCTTTGCATGGTATCATGTAGATCGCGTCAGTTGTATCATGAATTGTTGTTTTGTCTTTATGTTTGGTGAAGCATGATTTGAGTTTTTGTGTAGGTTTGTGGGCGACGTTAATATTAAATGGTCGAAGAAGTCTGGCAGTCATTTCTGATGTTCCGTTTATGTATGGTAATGTGACGATTTTACTGTTTCGTCCGGTTTTTTGTTGCTTTTGTCGGTTTGTGTTTTGTTTTGTATTTTGTATATAGTTTTGTTTATGAAGTTTCTAGGGTAGTTGTTTTTAATAAATGTGGAGTATAAGTAGTTGCGTTCTGTTTTTTTGGCTTCTTCCGTATTACAATGAGTGTTTATCCTGTTGAAAAGTGTTCGAATGCAGCTTATTTTGTGTTGTGTTGGATGATTGCTGTTGAAATCGAGTATTTGGTCTGTGTGGGTGGTTTTGCGGTATACTTGTGTGTTTAGTGTACCGTCATCTGTTGTGGTTAGTAGGATGTCGAGGAAGGTAAGTTGTTTGTCGTGTTCTTCGTCTTTAGTAAAGGTAATGTTCTTTGTGGTATTGTTTATGGTGTGTAGGATTTGTTCAGTTTTGTCTTTCTTGACTATGGCAAAGATGTCGTCGACATATCTTTCCATAGTCTGATGTTTGTGTTGTTTGTGACTGATTGTGTTTCGAGGTGTTGCATGACAGCTTCTGCGAGGAAGGTGGATAGTGGTGATCCCATTGGTGTGCCTGAAATTTGTCTGTAGTATGTGTTTTGGAAGGTGAATTCAGTGGAGAGGCAAAGGTTGAGTAAGTCTAGGATGTCATTTTTGTCTAGGTGTGTTGTAGCTTGCCAAGTTTTGTCGTTTGTGAGTAGTTCGTTTGTAATTTGTTTGGCAATGTCTAGTGGTATGGATGTGAAGAGTGATGTCACGTCGTAGGATATCATGATTTCGTCTGGTCGTAGTTTAATGTTTTCAATACTGGCGAGGAAAGTGGTGGCATTTCGGATGGTGTGAGGTGAATTTTTGACTAATGGATTTTTAAAAAAAAAAAAATAAATTTCCTGGTGTAGCTAACCATGAAGGGACAGACACCCCGCTCGTTGACTTACGTTGAAAAGAAAATAATCGTTCATGAGGAGTAGCGTTTGTAGCCGTACATAACAAGGACCTAATCGAATGGAGTGCATCCAGCATCACCTCTTGCCAGTGGTTAATGGGTAGATTTTTCGATCGTAAAGCGAGGCAAACTGTTTTCCACAACGTTCTATTGAATTTTTCTACTTGGCCATTTCCTGCAGGATTATAACTTGTTGTTCTACTACTTGAAATACCCTTCTGTAAGAGAAAACTCTTTAGTTCAGCACTCATAAATCCTGACCCTCGATCAGAATGAATGTACGTAGGCATACCAAAAACCGAGAATAATTCTGATAGACAAGCAACAATAGTCCGAGCGCTAACATCTTCACAAGGGAACGCAAATGGGAATCTAGAATACTCATCTATGATAGTCAATATATATCGTTTCTTGTCCGGGCAGCGGACCTTTAAAATCTAGGTTCAGTCTTTCAAACGGCTGTGTTGCTTTTATCAGATGTGACTGTGCAGGTCGATAGTATTGGGGTTTACATTCTCGGCAGTCTCTACATGATTCGGTCATGCGCTTAATTTCTTCTATCGAAAATGGTAAATTTCGGCTTTTTACAAAGTGACTCATGCGAGATACTCCAGGATGACACAGTGCTTTATGAAGTTCGAAAAGTTTATCCAGTGTAAGCGACATAACCTTCACTCTCGATAAGGTATCCGCTGGTATATTTTCTTCTCCCGTTCTATATACTATGTCAAAATCATACATAGAAAGTTCCAATCTCCACCGCATTATTTTATCGTTCATAATCTTACCATGACGTTTCAAATTGAACATATAAGCTACTGACCTCTGATCCGTTACTAGTTTGAAATGTTTACCTGTTAGATAATGTTTCCACCTACGAACGGCCTCCACGATAGCAGCTGCTTCCTTTCTACTGACGAGTGTTTTAGTTCTGGACCATTTAGTGCTCTTGAGAAGAATGCTACTGGTCGTCCTTGTTGATTTAATGTCGCTGAAAGTGCAAATTCTGATGCATCGGTCTCTATTTGGAAAGGATAAGATTCATCAATTGATCCTACTACAGCATTCTCAATATCATTTTTCAGTAAATCAAACGCTTGCAACGCATCATTTGATAATGGAAAAGCTAAATTGTGAGACAAAGGTCTGATTTTAGTTGAAAAATCTTTAATCCATTGGGAGTAATATGAAAACAAACCGATGACACGCCTTTGAGCTTTTGCATCACGTGGGGCTGGCAGCTCCCGCAAAGGTTTTAGTCTCTCCGGATCTGGCTTAATCTCTCCTTGAGATACAACACTTCCGAGTATACTAATCGACGTTACCGAAAAAACGCACTTGCTTTCATTAAATGTTAGGTTACGTTTCCTCGCTGCTTTCATAAAAGTTCCAAATTTTATCATGATGCTCCTGATTGTAACCGCATATAGTAATATTGTCTAAATACGCGAAAGTATCTTCTAAAGCTTCTTCGGATATGAAAGTATCCATTGATCGTTGAAAGGCCGCCACTCCTTTAGTTACACCAAATGGGATTTTACGGAACTGATAAAGTCGATGGTTAGCTTCAAAAGCCGTGTACTTTCTCTCTTTATTTTTGATAGGTACTTGATGGTATGCACTTTTAAGATCTACAGTGCTAAAGACACTATATTGGGCAACTGCGTTTACTGTATCCTCTATTCTTGGCATCGGATAAGCGTCCAACTGAGTAAATTTATTAATTGTTTCAGAGTAATCGATTACTAGTCTTTTCTTTTGTCTTTCGTTCTTGGTTACAACGACTTGGGCTCTCAAGGAGAGTCACTTTCTTCAATAATCCCTTCTTCAAGCAATTTCGACACTTCTGTTGCGATGAACGCTCTGTCTTCGGCACTGTATCTTCGTGATTTTGCAGCTACCGGTCTACAATCTTCAGACAAAAATTGAAACAACGGCGGTGGCCCTATATTTATAGTTGATAAACCACATATCGTTAAAGAGGGCGATTTTCCCCCATACTCAATAATTATGCTTTCATGTTTTTCCTGCCAATTTTGTCCTAATATCACGTTCGTACATAAATTTGTTAAGACAAACAGTTTTACTTTCGCATACTCTCGCTCTTTAAGTATAATATCTGCTAGACAATAGCCTTGAATTTTAGAAGAAAACGAGGATGCAGCCATTGTTACTTTCTCTTGGGTTGTGTTAACGTTCAATCCCAGATTACTTGCAACTTTAGGATGTATAAAATTATGTGTACTTCCCGAATCAATTAGAGCTTCGCAAGATTTTCCATTAATCAAGACATCAATACAGGCTTTCTTTAGTGACTTTGCTACTGTATGTTTAGTTGATGCTAATGCTATATACGAAGCCTGAGGAGCGACCGATTTACATACTCTTTGGAAATGTCCTTTCTTTTTACATTTATAACAATAGGCGTCTTTAGCCGGGCATGCGGAACGATGGTGTGGTCGATTACCGCAGAAGAAACATTTCGCTGATCTAGAAGAGGCGGCAACGTACCTTTCTATGCCGTTGTTCTCTTGATGTCCGTCAGATTGATCAGTTTTATTGGTTTTCGAATGCCCGTTGACTAAAAAACGAATTCTCCCCGTCCTTGTTTGATAGAGCAGCAGCTGTTATTGGAATTCCGTCTGCATAAGTTTCAAAGTTCTCTGTGCTGTATCTAAGGCTCGGGCTTGATCAAAAGCTGTCTGAAGGTCTAATGTTTTATTCTCGAGAAGACGTTGGCGGATGTTAGTTGAAAGAAGACCTGCTATAAACGCGTCTCGTACAGCTTCGTCTCGATATTGATTTGATGTCACGCTACGAAAATTACAATCTTTGCTTAGCGATTTTAATTCTTGTAAATACTCATCCAGGCTCTCGCCAGATTGTTGTTTACGAGTAGCTAACTTATGTCGCGAAAATATCTCATTAGGAACCTTAACATAGAGATTTTTTAACAATTCTATAGCTTCCTCGTAGGTTGTCGCTTCACAGAAAAGTTGATAAACGTCGGCAGAAACATAATTGACTAGAACCTTTAATTTGTTCACTTCTTCGTTAGGTAAAGCAGCTACAAAATTTTGGAAAGTAGCAAACCAGTGCAACCACGATCTAGCAGCGTCTTGAGCGTTAGGATTGGTGTCAAAACGTTGTGGTCTTAAAACTTTCTTCATCACAGCATAAGATGCGGAAGACACTTGATAGGATAGACTAGTGAGAGCACCGAGATTCTGAGTGTTGTGTAAATTGTTGTAAAAGTTTTATTAAATATTTATTATATCTTCTATATACTAACCTAAGGAGGTTTTACACAACACTGCTGGGGTTCAATGCAAAGGCTCCTTAAATAATGGGCATACTTATTTACATTTACGTATATTTAAATTTCGTAATGAATTCTGTTCAGGGTATGAGGTGCATGATATTAAAAAATAAGGAAGGTTTTGGTATTGTGTGGATATGTTAAAACACTCAATACCTTGATGCTACAGGTTGTTCCTTAACAGTTTCATTTGTTTTGTTAAATAGCACTATAAGAATCCAGTGCAGCCTTAAAAAAAAGTTAAAAACCCATCACATATTTTGCATGCATGTAATATACACAAAATACAATTTCATTCTATATTGATGAACAATAATTGTTTACAACATTACCCTTTGTTGACAGGTATTAGAACTATGTTCTTATTCCAGATGGCGACTTTCCTAGTGAATGATTTTGCACACTCCCAAAGTTCCCTGATAGGAATAAGACAAAGCATACATGTACAGTATGTAAAAAGGAGACAAAATGAATTATGGTGAATGCCAGATTAGTAATGACCAGAGTGACCTGAAAAATATTTTATAATTGTATAATTGTTGTATTTTGATTGCAGTTGCATTATTATATATTTAAGTTACAGATACAAATACAACAGATACAAATTGACACACCTGTCATTTCTGGGAACCTTTTTTTCAGCTCCATTTGCTGTTGTGATGGTTTTATGGATGGTTTTATGACCTGAGCTTGGTACAGAAATAGCTTGACAATGCAATGGTGGATTGTTTCACATTCTCATCAGCATATTCAAATTTGAGGTATCTATATAGCAAGAATAATAATTATATTAATTATTAATCTACTGGATTGTTTTCATTGGGAAAAATAATCAATTAACCCATTAATCCTCTCTCTTTTTACAAGTACTGTACAAGGCAAGTAAAATTTTCTGTAATTATAAAATTAAAATAACAAAGTGGAGTGAATTGCAACTTAGTAATGAGTTACTGATGCCCATAAGCAATTAAAACAAATACTGTACTACACTTCTTGTAACTTTCTTACTGAAGAAAAGCTTCAATAATGAGGTCGCTAACAAGACAGCCTGGATTTAAACATTGAAGTTCAGCTGGAATCAGGAGATTTCTGTACATGTTTCTCCAGTTATCAGATGTGGCATGTAGACATTTTCCATTCGTCAATCATTTTTTGCAAATTCACCTGATCCAGTTTGCTAAGTTTTTGTTTGTTGGTAGCTGAGTAGATATGATTGATGATGTCTGTGCTGGTTGGATAAAATGACCGGTTAAGTGTTGAGGGCCTTGGACTTTTATCATCTTGGAACAATATGTTTTCCACATGGTAGGTAAGTAACTTTTTAACTTCCTGCCACTGTGTTACACCTATTTAATAAAACAGCCCAATAGTTCTGGATGATAATGTAAGGCCACCTTTTCTTTTTCAGTACGCCGTATTGCCGTTAGAGTTTGATGAATGTTTAAAATCAGTATGCCTCACCTGCTGCAACAAGCTCGTGGATTTTCTCTATTATAAGCGGATGGACCCCATTGGAAATGCCGCACACTTCTCCGTGTGGGTGGTTTGTGTGTGCTTGCTGGTTTGGAACTTTGACAAAAAACCTCTTTATTTTTTTAATTTGCGCTTCATTGTGTTCTTTATCGATTTTTAACTTGTTCAAGAGCGATGGTTTAATGACTCGTTCCATCTACAATAATTTGGACACAACGCAATTAGTGTTGAGGCTGGTTTTAAGATGATTAGTTCCTTTAAGCAACGTCATATACATTTGTATGTTTTATGCAGTGCGGTGTTTGAAATTAAATGAGATATGATCTTCGCACTTAGCTGGACAATTTAAGCAATCGTCTCAGGACCTGAAAAAATCAGGTGACTCAACGGGATTCGAACCCATGACCTCTGCGGTTCGAATCCCGTTGAGTCACCTGATTTTTTCAGGTCCTGAGACGATTGCTTAAATTGTCCAGCTAAGTGCGAAGATCATATCTCATTTAATGTCATATACATTGTTAAAAATTTGTTGAGTAAATTTGATTTTTCTTTGTTTAACTCCCACAGTCTCACCTGGTGTTTGTTGTTACAGGATGTTGGAACGATGTAGTCTGGATACACGGTTAACTCCCTAACAGTGATCTGGGCCTTACACCCAAGCTTTTTAGTTGGCTGCACTCGAAATCGTCTTTTTTGGCCAGTTGGATGGCCGTTGATTCCCTATAGTATAGGTTGAAGTGTACTGCAGTTAATGTTAAAAATGATTTGTTCAAAAGTATATTATCTATTATAATTACGTTATAGGTGTGGTTCGAGTTTATAGAGTTTAATATTTCAGGTTTCAAGACTACGTACCTCCTCAGAATCTCTATTTGTCGGCCTGCACGGTCCATAAATACACTCTAGTAACCGTATTCCATTGATACAAAACGGAGTGCCAAAAAATGGTATGGATAGATCACCAAAATTGCTGCTCCATCTCAAACTACCTTTAATAACAACAATTATTACAAAAAATGTTGATAATTTTATTTATAATTATATATTTACAACAACTGATGAGTAACGTGAGTTATGAACAAAATTTATAGTGAGTGAGAAGTGGAACTTTCGTCGAAACAATACAATTTTTCACGTGTAAAATACTACAAGTGCAATACGTCGTATCAGTTTAATTTATGTACCTTCATTTCCATATCGCTTTGCCGAACCTCGTAGCGCAGACGAACGAAGCTTGAAAGATGTCGATCCAGCAACTTCGTATTTTTGTAAAAACTCGTTCAAGTTAGTCTCTCCATCAATCCAGCCTGTGAAATATTCACCATTCTCTACGACCTCTTTTAAATATCGGCTTATAACCTGTCGAATATCTCGATTGTTTGCATTATTTAAATTACCCGCCATTATGCAAATGATCGCGCAAAAATAAACTTGAAATTGATTTAATTTCATCGCTCAAAAGTAGTTTTCGTGTTATTACGCAATCGGCACAAGTGACGTCACGACATGAACCACGGCATTGCTCTATTTCCATGCAGCATCGGCACTCTTGAGGGTTGACAACAAGATCCAACGAACAATGGCCACATTCACACCTTTAATATTGGCCAAATTGTATGTTTCCATAAAGTTATCATAGCTAACGGCAGACGATTCAGATCAAACTAACACACTAAGAATGACATCTTGCCATGAAGTAACATCAACACGGGCATCAAAACGATCTTGCAGCATGTCTTCAACCCGCCGTTCTTCTGCGACTGTAGCTTCGTACTCAGCAATTTCATCGGGCGAAGCAAGCGGTTCAATATTATCGACAAATGGCAAAATTTCCGAATTAGATTCGTTCAAATTTGCCGTCACAAATTCCGATGAAGAAATCGATGCGTTTGTCTCGATCGAAGACTCGGAGAGCGAGCTAGATCTCGATGAATTTGACATTTTTTTGCTCTATTTATGTATTACTTTGTATACTTTCCAATGTGCGCTTCTCTCCGTGTTAAGACTATGACGTCACAAACCTTTGCTGATTGCAAATATTCAAAATGGCCGATTTTAATGGCGGACATAAAAATTAGACATTTCAATTGTTCATAACTCCCTCGTTATATTATTATTTTCGCTTACATTTTGCGAAAGCAACAATTGATATGTGTTTAAACTATTGAATGCTAAAATCGATGATTTTTTAACTTTAAGTTTTCGTCATAGAACCACTTTAAAGTGTGATTATAGCTACTAAACCGAATCCTATTTATACGATGCAATCAATAAACGCGAGCTTTTTAAATTAATTTAATTATGTTCATTTACGTCATCGTCAATTTAAGAACGCAATTTTGATTAGAGATCAGATTAGTCATCATTGGACTGATAACTATAACAACCATTGCAATTGGTAATTGGATAAGCTATGACCTTTCCATGCTCGGGCACTGCAGCTAAGGCTAAAGGCTTCTGTTATAACCATGATCAAGCAAATAATATCAAGTTTCGTAAACTAGTTAAGGGTATTTTAAATAATTATTCGTGTGATTAAGAATAAAAGATGTTTACTGTGTTTGCACAGGGGTTATGAAAATCTAGCAGACCTTTAGAAGAACTTGAGAGATGATCAATGCAAGCCTAAGACCGAAGGTCGAGGGTTGCAGCTGCTTAAAAGTTGTCACAAACGTCTACGAGGTTATTGTAGACACATTCGGCGTCTCTACAATGCATATAAAAATGCATCAGCTGGAAAAACGTCAATATATTACTCTGCAGGCAAGATTTGCCAACAGATTTAGTGGAAAAAGGTAGTTAAAGACTTCCTCAAATGGTTCACCGGACAGTAAATTTGCCACGATAAATACATAATATAAGCGAGGAATTTGTTTCCGTGAAGCAATCTCAAACAAGCCTGAGCACGAAAATGACGGAACACACAGGATTAAAATAAGGCATATGGTGTTCAAGAGATTAAAACTTCAGGAAATTTGGTCTATGTGTATGCAAAGCAGTTTCTATATCGTGGCTTATGTTTGTGCCATATTTAAACCAAATGTTTTATAGCTAACTGCATTTTATTTGCGTCCTATTTTAGGGCAAGCTATTTCAAAAGTGGTTCTCGGAAAAAAAATTCTTTCTAAAAAGAAAGAAGGAGCTATAGACAAACACTTGCTTTACATTATCAGACTTGACATAACAAACTCACCGCAGTGGCCACAAGAATTGGAGTTCTACCACTCCGAAATGATTGCAGTGAATCTTCCCGCTCACGCTGGGAGCGATCGCCGTGAATGGACGTTGCAGGATATTTCTCACGATATAAGTAATCTTCCAATGCATCCGCTCCTTTCTTCGTCTCCACGAACACCAACGTCAATGAGTCAGGACCTAAAAATAAACACATCGTTGTCGAAGACAATAAAACCTCATTTTCTCGTAGCTATATATATATATAAATCCCCTGAAGAGTGAGCAATCACAAAACAGGCTTGTCGGGATGAAAATGTAGTTTTTGTGTATTTTCTTCTTCTTATCAATATATTTATATATATATTTATATATATATTTTTAACCGTACGTCCTGTGTCCCAAGTGCAGGAGTCACCATTTTATTATGGTGATAGCCGGGAGGGCACATTGTATATACACTTTGTATATATATTAATAATAATAAGAAAATACACAAAAACTACAATTTCATCCCGACAAGCCTGTTTCGTGATTGCTCACTCTTCAGGGGATTTAATGAATAAAATACTTAAATGCTTAAAATATATATACAAGACGACGGAAGTTAGTGTATTAATCAAGGTGTATAGTTTCAAGTTAGATGACGGAAGTTAGAGTATTAATTAAGGTGTATGGTAACAAATTACATAGGAGTGTTTTGGATCTATGGCGACAAGAGGAAACAAGTTCGTTGCGTTTATTGAGGGATGATTTGGATGGTTGGTAGAGGATGAAGAATTTTTCTTTGAGGCAAAGGTTGCATCTTTTACTGGTGCTGTTGTATGGTTTGCTGTGTGTGATGATGTTCCATGAGATGTCGTGGTTGATATTGCTGTCTTTAAGGGTCCAAATGTGCTTACTGAGCTCGGTCGAGTTTCTTAATTTTTTGTGGCGGAAAGAGGCAGTGTGATTTCTATGTCTACTCTTAAATTCGTTTTCTGTAAGTCCAATGTACGTCTCAGTTGTGTTATTGTCTTTGCGTTTTACGGTAGCTTGGTAAACAACGGATGACTGCAGGCAGTTTCCGTTAAGTGGGCAGTTTTGTTTTTGTCGGCAGTTGCATGTTTTTGTAAGTGTCTTTTTGTTCGCGGTGTTGTCGTTAGTTTTGTCTGATGTTCTCAGTATATGTTTGTTATGGTTGTTGATTATTTGTTCGATATTGTTCATGCAGCTGTAGCTGAGTTTGATGGTGTTACGGTTGAATATTTTCCTGAGTTTATGGTCTATGGGGAAGTGTTTGTCGATTAATGAAAGGAATTTGTGGCCAATGTTCGTGTAGACGTTTTTGCTGAATGGAGGGTTGTACCAAAGTATATTTTGTCGAAGTCTGTTTTTCCGTTTGGTAGTAGCGTCTGAGTCGAATTTTAGTGTGTATCGGTATCCGTTTTCGTCGAGTGCTTTTTGGTATGGTGCAGTTATTTGTTCAAATGATGCTTTGTCGGTGTCGCAGAATTCACTGAGTTCGTCCAGAAAATTGATCTGCACTCTGATTCGGTTTGTTTTATGGAGTTTATTAGCAATGAACAATCAACAAAATCTCCCCGACTATTACAAATTTGAGTCTATTTATATGTTTACATTTCGTGACTTACGTGCACTACTACAACATGAATTAATTAAGAGAGAAAATACTTAGGAAGTGTTAAGTATATACACCCTAATTTTTAATTATAATTTTGGCACACATAAAACTCTGCATGGGAACTTATAAAATCCGGCATGCAATAAAAAATATAAATGAAATATCCTAAATTATACAACACTCTCCCTCCCTTGACTCACTCAGGAGTCAAGCTTCGCCCTAACCTTCCACCTGGCGTCCAAAGCCGCCTTTCTCTTAGTCTTCTCCTTACATCCGCTAACTATATCCTCCTTAACAACCCCTTCAACCTTACTCTCGTCTTTAACCTCAACTGGATATAAATGCTGAATCGCTCTATTCAACACCTGGCGACGACCGTTTGTCAACACGCAAACCTTTGCACCACGAACGACCTTATCCTTGCCACAAATCAATTCCTGAATCACACCTGTCTTCCACTCCCCCCTTTTCTTACCCTGCTCAAACACAATGACCACATCCCCTGGCTTAATTATCGCCGACTGTTTGTCTGCCATCCCAACCTTATGAAATTCCCGAAGATTCGTGAGATACTCCCGTTTCCACCTGCTCCAAAAATGCTCCAGTATGGTACTTAAATGTTTGAATCGTGTCCTAGTGTTTGTTCTAGTCGAATCTTGTCCTAAATCATTAATTTTTGAGTCCTTGCTATCGGGTAATGTCACGATGCGCCTACCATAGACTAAATGTGCAGGAGTGAGTACTTCACTATTCACTTCCTCGTACTCATACGTTAAGGGCTAGAATTCAATTTAGCTTCAACTTCAGCTAGAACAGTTGTCAGTTCGTCGAAAGTAAGTTTTGCATTGCCCATAACTTTCCTTAAACAGACTTTCACTAGCCCTATCATCCTTTCGAAAAACCCTCCCCACCATGGGGCCCTCTTTAGGTTAAATCGCCACTCAATGTTCTTAGCGCTAAGGCAATTATCTACTTCTTCGCATTGAAATAAGTCTCGCAACGTCTTTTTTGCGGCTTTAAATGTTTTGCGTTGTCAGAAACAATAAGTTTCGGTGTACCAAACCTTGCAAAAAATCTTCTTAAACAGCGCAGAAATGTCGCTGCACTCAAATCGTGCACTAACTCTAAGTGAACCGCGCGTGTCACAAAGCAGGTGAACAGCGCAATGTACACCTTGCTCATACTTGCCTTTCTTTTTACGTACAAAGGTCCTGCAAAATCTACGCCTGAATTTTCAAATGGTGCGGCTCTCCTAACCCTAAACTCTGGTAACGCTGCTTGCTTTATTTGTGTACACGGCTTACTGTTCCATCGTTTACAAGCTACACATCCACCGCTCACTCTCTTAACTTCCTGTCTGCCCTTGGGTACCCAATACTTCGACCTCAGTTGCGCCAACGTGCTCCGAACTCCCCCATGCATAACAGATTCATGACACTGCCTTATCACTAGCTCTGTGAAATACTGTCTCCTAGGCAAAACAATCGGCTCTCTAGCTTCTGCCTCTGCAAATTGGATTCACCCAATCTTCCCGTACAATGCAGTATCCCGTTCATTTCTATCAGTCCGTACTGTCTTTCTAACTGCTTAAACTCGGGTTGCTCTCGTAACTCTAGCTGGGCTGACTTTATCCACTCGCATTCTCCATCATTCATTTCGCTCGCTTTTATTGGTCCGGTAAAAATTTCTAATCGTAGTTTTTTTTTGTTTGAAATTATAGACGAATCTCTTCACCCACGCAGTAACTCTTAACAGCCGTGTAAGTGTGCTGTATTTACTTATGCTAATGACATTGCCAATTCCAAACAATGACCCTGCGCTTATGATTAGGTTAACAACAAATGACCTTTTCTCTTCAACCTTGCTGTCTACTGTGGGAACTATCTCCTTCGCCATAGGATAATGCCTTGGACTACCCCGCAACCAAGACGGTCCTGACCACCAAACCTCCGCGTTCTTTAACTCAGTCATCAAGACCCCTCGCGACCCTAAATCTGCAGGGTTTTCCTTACCTGGACAATGACTCCACTCTGTTTTTGAACGAAGCCTTAATATTTCGTCAACTCTATGCTGAACAAATTGCTTCCAATTGCCTGAGTTGACTATCCAATACAAAACAGTCATACTATCAGTCCAATACTTAACACCCTCAAAATTATACTCTGACTCTAACGCTTTCCTGACTGCAGGTTCCTACGAGTTCGCATGTCTCAGCTCCGTCGAAGCTACCCATTGTGACGTCGAATGTTGAGTTATATTTCTTTTGCCAGGGTTGTTGGTTGTGTATAAGGAATGAATTCTTAGCGTGTATAATGATGTTTTTTTCGGCGTTTGTGATGTTGTCGTAGGTTGAGGCAAAATCCAGTGCTTTGTTTAGTAGGTCTTGATTAATGGATGGATAAAAGTCTACGATGTCGAAGGATATGAAGGTGACGTTTTTTTTTGTGTTTGATAGATTTGAACCACTGGATCACAGATGATGAGTTTTTCCATTGGTTGTATGAGGTTGTTTTTATGATGTTGCTGTTAATTCTGTCCAGTATTTTCTTGCTGATTTTACCAACTTCAGATTTTGTTGGGTTGATAAGTCGGCAGGTTGGTTTATTCGTAAAGTTTGGTTTATGGTCTTTGAGTGTTATGAATGCATTTTTATGGGCAGTGGCTTCTACTCTGTCAGATATACCACTGTCACATATATCACTATGTATATATATATATATATATATAGGAAGTTTATAATTTATGATTTTCCGTATAAAACAGTGCTCGATGCCCAAGAGCAGAGCGTGAATATGTGTAGTGGTGTTGAGAAAAATACACAAAAACTACAATTTCATCCCGACAAGCCTGTTTCGTGATTGCTCACTCTTCAGGGGATTTAATGAATAAAATACTTAAATGCTTAAAATATATATACAAGATGATGACGGAAGTTAGTGCATTAATCAAGGTGTATGATTTCAAGTTAGATGACGGAATTTAGAGTATTAATTACGGTGTATGGTTACAAATTACATAGGAGTGTTTTGGATCTATGGCGACAAGAGGAAACAAGTTCGTTGCGTTTACCTACTAAACAAAGCACTGGATTTTGCCTCAACCTACGACAACATCACAAACGCCGAAAAAAACATCATTATACACGCAAAGAATTCATTCCTTATTCACAACAAACAACCCTGGCAAAAGAAATATAACTCTACATTCGACGTCACAATGGGTAGCTTCGACGGAGCTGAGACATGCGAACTCGTAGGAAGCTACCTCCTTTCTCAACTACAAAACATCACAACAGACATAGGACTTTATCGAGACGACGGACTTGCCATTTCAAACACCACACCACGAGAAACAGAGAACATTAAAAAGGAAATATGCCGGATATTCAACAACAATGGACTACGCATAACTATTGAAGCAAACAAAAAAATCATCAACTTCCTTGACATCACCTTCAATCTTAACAATTTTTCATATCGCCCTTACACAAAACCCAACTCTTCTCTCCAATACGTCCACAGCGAAAGCAACCATCCACCAACCATAACGAAGAACATACCCGACGCCATCAACAAAC